TGGCCAGTGGGTTCTTATGCAGCTGCAATGCATCGTTTAGTCTTGTCAGAAGTACATAAACGAATCTTTCCGTTTTTCTTCTCGACAACAACTATTGGCGCGACCCATTCTGAGTGTTCTACTGCAGAAATCATTCCTTCGGCAACCAACCGATCGATTTCTTCCTCCAGTTCCGATGCGGTCGCTTTTTCCTGAAGACTGAACTGCATGGTGTTTCAAGAATTTCGGTAGCTTTGCTTTGCTTTTTGCTATTTAAAATCTATATACAGCTTCTTTAAATCTGCCACGATCTTCGCTCGATACTTTTCTTCTCGACTCACCTTGCGCCAGTGATACTTGTTCTTTAACTTCCTGTAGACCGGCACTCTAATCCTAATAGATTCGTGTCTTCGGTAAAGTAGCATCTTCCTTTCATTGGATCTTCTTTAGTGTAACACGATCGGACGCTGACGGAGAAGTTGGTGGACTACCATCGATCTCCACCGGCGTTCCATCTGCCGTTTTCATAGGTATGATGTAAGTTCCAGTGTAGGTAATCCAATCATCTTCCAGGTTCGGCCTGATATCTGACATCAGCCCTTGTATCAAGCTGGAAGCGCAGAGAGCATCCATTAATAACGACGTCTAGATAGATCCTTGCCTTTGGGCGTCAAACGCGACAACGTTTTTGCAGTATCTCTTGCGACCACAAGGCTGGGTCTCTGTTTTGCGTCGCTTCTTCTTACCAGTGGAGGCGGAGAGTGAGCATTTGTTTTTGGAATTTGGATCTCAACGGCTGAAGCACTTTATTTTTTTCTTCCACACATCATGCATATCGCGAGTTCCTTCCATGTCAGTGTTGTCCATTTTCAAGCGGTGAAATTCTCACATTCGTTAAACAGATCATCGATTGTCAGTGGAGTGTCATGTGAGTCCAGTCGGCGAATCCCTAAGGGGAACTTCCCGCAGTTTGGGATTCTGAAGACCCATTACAAATTGTAACGTCTTCATCGCCGTGTAGTCGAGTTCCTCAAGCCGCGCGTCCTTGTCCATCCGCTTGATTGGTTAGCATATTCCCGAAACGGCATGTACATTGGTGTAAGCGGCGGACAAGACACTAAGCACTCTATCTTCTCCTTATCAATGTCTTCTTAGAGGCAAACAGATTCTGTAGAAGCAACCGTCGTATCCTGTTCACATGGTTGCGTAGCCAGGACCTCATCCGCATACATCCGATATGCGTCCTCCCAGCTATGAGAATCAGATGGCGTTTTTTGTTGTCCGGTAACAAAGTGTCGCGTATGACCGATCCGTACCCGTTAAACCAATAGGAGAATGTGTTGTCTATCTCTCCGTCTGAGACAAATTTTTGCACGTCCCTGCTCAGCTGATCGTATTTGTCTTTGTTGGCGTCGTGGACGGTATCACCTTGACTGTGGCTAAGAAAATTGACTTCATTTCGTCAAGCTGTATCCTCATTTGCTCGACCATGACAGTCAGGATCTCCAGTTGAGAATCATGACCACACCGTTCTTCTGCAGCTTCAAGCATGGCTGACTCTGCACGCTTCTTCTTCTTTCTTGCAGGCTTCTTTGTCTCATTGATCAGTGGTGAAGTCTTCGTTTTATTTTCTTCTTTGTCCTTGATCGGGAAATCTGTTCCTGATCGTCACTTGCTGTGTTGATAAACTGTTTATGTGCAAAAAGGCTGAGAGGCCTCCTACACAATGCCGTATATACCACTGGTTCACCTATTGAAACCTATGGAATAATATTGTATGAACAGCATAAGACGTGGCGAATATCCCACTATCTTGTGTATCACGTAAGCACTGGGGAAATATAGTGATAGAACAAGTACAAGGTAAGTAGATATAGTCGCTACAACAGATAGTTCTAAACAAATATTAAAATGTGAGCATATCATATGCCGATGGCCATCTAGGAAAGAAACTTTTTGTACTGTTGCAGGCACATCATTAGCACAAACGACTCGGTAGCATTTCTTTATATTTTTCTGGGAAAGACATGGACGTCATTATTCATTACACCATAGAGATTCCATCTAATGTTGCTTTCGCATATCTGTTCTAAGTTTTGCTCTCCCTGCTTCAAAAATTATCGCTTTTATTCATGGCATGCGGCTCACATCCACCGCATGCCATGGATAAAAGGGATAATTTTTGTTTATATAAGAACATCCTGGCTTGTTTGAAACTCCTAGTCAGTTTTGTTTTTCTCCCAACTTGATGGCAAACTACTAAAGATCACTGGATAGGCTGGCTATAAATTATTTTTAAAAAGTACTCCTTTTTTAATTAATATATAATGTGTTGTTAAAGCAACAGATCCTTTAGAAATCTCTTAGTTGAAGAAATAGCACGCAGTTATCCGACAACTCAGTATATTTCACTTGTTCTTTTCGAATACAAGAAAGTACTGTTTGCAAGAGAAGCTCTTAGATTAGGGAGCTCTTTGTAAATCATAAATGCTTCATCTTCATTATTACTTCTTTATACAGGAAAGTTCTCTCAGGGAATAAGTCTGCAATGCGCAGCAAGCCATATTTGTGCATTGTACCAATAAGTATCCATAGCATTATCCATCTTAATAATTTTACCACATGTGTTTTCTACCTCAAGCCCTCTTTTATTTAGTCCTATTAGAGCCATCGTTGTTTGGTACCTCAGCACAGAAATCTATAAAGTGCTAATTTTTAAGAAAACTTTTATGGGACAGAAGTTTCGACCGTAATAGATTTTAGGTGAAGGACTTGCTCTGGATCCCCACAGTTTTCTTAAATTCATATGAGCTTACGCGAAGATACATTAAGTCAGCACAGGAGCCTTTACGTTCTGTCACGTATGCAGTCTGTTGTCAATAAAGCATCAAATGGCAGGTAGCCCTGATAGCGTTAGACAGCCCACATCGTGCTCTGTTGGTGAACTTCGCTCGCGCTCGAAAAGCTGTCCATAAACGCTCTTTTGCTAAAGCATGTTATGAGTTTATTTTCCAGCACTTGATTTTAATCCTAGCATTTCGCTCGGCAGGCTAGGCAGGTAAAAAACTACTCTCTTTGTCACAATTCGAGCCCTAAGAATCTGTTTTTCTCTTGAAGTTTGCCAATTTCTGAAAACTGCGTGCAACTCAAAATAGAATTGTCAGCTAGATAATAATGTAACATAGAAATACGTGGGCCAGTTGGCAGTTTCACAGATACGTGTACAACCGCATCGTGTTATGCACATGCAAATGCTTGAAATTTTATATACGCTAATCACTATCATTGTAAATACCAATAGGATTTAAGCAATAAGCAGAGAGGTTAGAGTCATTTTCATTTTCTCCTAACCACTATCAGATCAGTTTCACAAGGTAGCGTCCTTAGCTTTGCTAATGCAGAAAAAACTTTCGATTGAGTTACGCAGCAGTATTTGAGCTTTGAAATATATTTAAGTAGAACTAAATAGTTTTAGGCGACAATTTTCTCTTAATGTCATAATTGCTCTTACAAATAGGTATG